GAACCGCGGTCCCTGTGCTTTGCTGAGCTTGTTCCACGTAGGTGCTTTAGACCACTGAGCCATCTCTCCAGCCCCAAAGGTTTTTTTTTTGTTTGTTTGTTTGTTTGTTTGTTTTTTCCAAAGGACTTTTTTTGGTCTTATTTTCACTATTTTCTTTTTTTGGTACCGGGAATTGAACTCGGGGCCTCGCGCTTGCTAGGCAGGCACTGCGCCACTGAGCCACATCCCCGGCCCGGCTTCCACCTTTTGGGCCTCACTAGCAATTTGGGGTGTGGTAGGAGGGTAAGTGCATATAACATGCCAGATCTTGTTTAATGGTTACTTTAAAAAAGAGGGAGAGAGATGAGATTGACAAATACAGCAAATGCTTAAATTTTAAAATTTATTACAATGAAAAACATGTTGCCGTTGATCACCCTCCAAACTCCCCCACTCATGTTGAATACACCTCATCATTCTTGCCACTTTCTGAAGCTGTTCTGAGAGCGTCTTGCATGTGTTCCGTTGTCCTGTTGTGGCTACATTGATGTCTTAAACTTGTTCAAAACTTTTCTGGATCATTTTGACTTTGGGGAAGAGCCAGCTGTCACGTGGTACCAGATCCAGTGAGCTAGATGAACACACACACATGGTGATGAGCTTACAAGCCTGCCTTCCATTAGACGGCGCTCGGCAGCAGCATTCCCCATCTATTTGGACTGTACCATATACAGGGCTTTCCTGTCTTGTCATCCTCACTGACTATCAGTAGTGGTAAGGATGTGTGTGTGTGTGTATTTGTGAGTTATGTTTTCACACATAGCTTTGTACCTCATTAAACATTTCTACTACATTTTTTTAAAATGCTGGAAGATAGGAGACTCCACATCTTAATAAAAAGATCATTTTGCCTTGTCCCTGTGAAGCACTGGTAGAACCCTGACAGCCCTTGCTGATTTTTGACCCACCTCTCCCTGAGCTACAGTCATCTATCTGCTGGTTGGAGCTGGTTGGTCACAGATAGGGATTGCCTGGGCCTTGGAAG